CCGCCTCCGGGCAGCGCTCCGGACTGCCCATCCCCCGGCCGAAGCGTGGCTCTTAAACCCCGTGTAGAGGACGCTGAGATTGGCACGATCTCGCGTTCGGTCCCCGGCGAGCTGGCCCAGGGGGTCCTGGAACCCCACAGAGCCCGAGCTCCCCGCGGCTGCCTCCGCGCCCCGCGGTGGAGTTCATTCTCCTAAAGCTGTCATTTCTCTTCCGGGACGTTCGCGTGCCACATGTTTGTTGCCCACGAAGGTGGGGAGGAGGCACGCTGGTTCGCCTTCCAGAGGCGCCGTTCTCGGACTGAGGATGGGCTCTTCAGGAACTTTGAGCTCTCTGGAGCCTCCTGCAACGTGCTCTCTCAGCTTCCCAGTGTGCACAGGTTGGGCGTATTGACTGTGCCCCGCGACGCACGCCACTCTTAAAAATATGTAACTTCCTTGCCCCTTTGGTTAGGAGCCCAAAGAATGCCCGTCCTTGGTATAAACTAACTACAGCTATGATGCAGGAAGAACCTACTTCCAGTCTTGCTCCTGCTAAAACTAAAGTTTTCCTAAATACTTTATGACAGCTGAGTTTGCTGGGTGGAGTGTTCGATCATTTTAAATACCAGCAAACTCAATTGCAAGAGTAGGTCGATCTTCAGATTCATTTGGGGAAAATGGAAGAGGGTTTACGGGCATAGCAAGGGCTCTCATCATTTCTCCCTTGAGACTCATCCCTATCAGATATCCTGTGGAGTGGTCCTCGCCCAGAGCAGAGTTTGGGATTATCAGGGTGAACCTGGATGCAGGCTGATTCCCACTTCCAAGCCCTGAGAAAGGAGTCTTTGCCTGATAATTTTACAGTCTGATACTTGTGGAGCCTGCCCAGCTCTGGTAACCAATCAAATGTGTCTCTAAGGCTGGAACTCCTCTCTGGTTTGGGGTGGGAAATGCTCAAACTCTAAGAAAGCTTTGTGGAATCATTCCAGAGAGCAAATGGGTAAACTGTGGCCTTGCTCATGTTTAAAACAGTTTTTTTTACTTTTTCAACAGCTACAGGTCATTTCATGGTGAGTGCTGCCTCCCTGAGTTTTTTGGTGGTCAAGCTTTGTTTGGGGGTGTTGTCTTTCACCAACCTTGCCATTTTTCCTTTAGATGTTGTAAGTACATGAAGTTATGAATCAGAATTTTAACCAGATGTACCAGAACTTAGGGATTCGAATAGGGCCTGTTCTATTCCTGAGAGATTATGCTTGTATGTCATTGGTGCTCCTTTGCCAAAACCTCTTGAGAACTCCTGTTTTGGTACTAAATGCGTAAGCCATATGAGAAAAATCTATCTTATTCAATAGTCACACCCCATGTTTGACCCCAATTTGTCTTACCTGGCTTGGTAACTCAACTCACTTACCAGACCAGGCTCTGAATATCTTCCTGCAATTTCTCAAAGTAACCCACCTTGAGAGGAGGAAGATTTGCTACCACTGGGCACCAAGAGAGTGTTCTGCAGGTTCAGGTTCCCAAAATGTCCTGTATTTTAGCATGCCTTTGGAATCGGTGTGTAGCCTTCCAGGGTGATTGCTGGGAAATGAGACAGCAGCCACTATGCTTGAGTTCTGGTATAGTCTTCTAAAAACTAGGCACTCATTTCAAGTTTATTTCTGGTATGCAACAGGTAGGTTACCAAGTAATGAGATTTTGTCATTCCTTCATTCAGCAAATATCATTCACCATCTGCCAAATGCAGTAGGCAGTGGAAGCACAGTGATGAATACTTGTTATTCTCTTCTATAGGCAAGTTCACCATTGTATGGATAAAAGAACTAAAGAATTAGTTCTAAGCTTTGCCAAGAATCCTCAATTACAGGGTGATCGTGGGAGAATACACTGAGTAAAAGCTGTGCACCTGGCAGTTAGTGAAGACATGACCAGAGGACCTTCCATTTCAGTGTCTGCACTTAACAGGCCACATGGTTTTCCACGCGCTCAGATATTTGCCAAATTGATTTAATCTCAAATTAATTTAGGACACAGACACCTAGAAAGACAGTTGACCTTCCCAGAGCAAACCCTGGAACACAAGCCATTTTCTGACCCGCAGTGACACTCCTCTTCATTGCAGCAAGGTGTGACTCGGGTTGCTTCTAATAACAGAGATTCTTTGGCCTATTTCCCTCTGCAAGGTGTTTACCTGTGAGCAGCCTCAGATTGTAAATTCCCAGGTGATCTCACAAGGCCTCCTAGGGTGACTGGATGTCCCCATGTCCCTTGGATAGCCCCTGTTCATGCTTGTTGCATTTGTTAACAGTACCCCCTTCCAATCTCCAATGTCCCGATTTAGACAGTAAATTACATGGAAGCTCTGCTACTAAGTGCCAGTCGTTTGCTGAGCCCAGGGAGCACAGAAGTGAATCTGAGCCCTTCCGCTCAGGCACTTCATAGGGACAGGAGGGCCTTCTATCAGTCTTTGCAAACAAATAGTCTCAGTACAGTATGGTAAGTATGGATACATAATAGGATAGTGTACAGTATACTTAGGGCAAGAGTTCTTAATCTGGGAGCCATGGGTGGACCTCAGGAGGTTTTGAACTCCCTAAAGTAGAAGGTAAGTTGTGTGTATCCAGATTTTCCTTGGGAGGGAAGCCAACCCTTCATCTTATTCTGAAAGCAATCCTTGCTCCCAAAGGCTAAGCACCACTGACAGTGAGAGCACTGAGCCGCCCCTGATAGTAGTAGGTGCACTCAGGACCTTTGGCTTTGCCACCTCCGGTCAGTGCTGAGAACTAACTTTGAGAGTTGGGAAGTTACTGTTGCATCCTTAGAATGTTGAAGTAATGTCCATAGTTCAAACTATGGAGGACATTCCTATTTAGTTTAAGTATTAAGATTCAATCTTCAGACAAGTTTAAAATCATAAAATAAATAGTGTCACAAATTGGATCTCCATATGGTCATCACTGTGTTTTAACTAGTATATAAATATGTTAACTTTTTGACTTATATGAAAAGGTGTGATTCTGGTTCTAGAAGGGCTAAGAGGTGTATAGCTGGATCAGCACAAAACTTGAGAAGGGAAAAAAGAAAAGCAGGCAAAATCTACTGGTGCAATGGAAGTCCTCAATGTATGCATGGGCTGTGTTCCTAAAAGGAATTTATAAAATCAGTTTGGAACTCAGGTCCCATTTTCCTATAGGAACAATGGCAAAAAGTGGGGGTTAGTTCCCAGGCAGGGAACAGAAGCTCCTTTCTTGCATAGTTTAGGGCTCTGGGACTGAGTACTTGCTTGAGGTGCAGCTTTACATTGTAGTCCTGGGATAGCTACTCAGTGGCCATGTGGCCTTGGTTTCTTTATGAAAGGGACCATCACTTATTTGGAAGGTTGATGTGAGGAAATTGGTCAAGTGCCTGACTCAGAGTCGTGATCTTTCTAGACAGTGGTGGCTGTTGAATTTTTGCAGAAGTTGTTTTAATAATATAATCTTGCATTAAGTAGATTCTCAGGTATTTGCTGAATGAAACAGTGAATGAATTATTCCTGAGTGCAAGTTGAACTGAACCTGATGGTGAAATGAGAATGGTTATTGGAAGTTGAGGATTACGTTTATTCACCTTCACATTAATTCAGTTTAAAATGTGCCAGGCATCCCTTGCTGGGTGGTTCAGTTGGTTGGAGTGTTGTCCTGTTCACCAGAAGGTTGAGGGTTCAGTTCCCAGTCAGGACTCATCCAGGAGGCAACCGATCAATGTTTCTCACATCGATGTTTCTCTGTCCCTTCCTCTCTCTCTAAAATAATCAATAAAAACATATCCTCAGGTGAGGATTTAAAAAAAAAAAAAGTTCCAGGCATATTATCAGGCTCATCTCATCTAATTGTTGCAGTAGCCTCGTACAGTAGATACTATTAGCCCCATGTTTGAGATGAAGAAACTGAGGTCTGTCAAGTTTACATAATTTCCTCAAGATCCTAACACTAAAAAACAGTAAGAGCTGGGGGTTCAAGTTCTACCTCAGAAACCCACACTGTACTAGCCAGTGTACCCAATGAAGATACAACATACCAAGAGGTAAACGTCCCATGTTACTCTCCCACTTCTTGCATTATTTGAAGTTTGACAATCTTTTTTTACATTTCTTATTCTAAGATTTAATTTCACCTTTGCAGAAATATAAAAAGCAATTTGGTTGGATCTGATCAAACAATGAAACCAAAGCAGAAACCCATTTGCACCTGGGCCCAGGAAAGGGGCTGTTATTAGGTTATGGGACTTTGTGGCTGTAAACAGGATAGTATGTTGCAGGGCCATTCACAGGCTTCGGGCGGGGGAGGTTCTGCAGAGTATTAGTTGTGTGATTTTTAAACTAGTTTGAGAGGACATTCAATTTCAGTTGATTAAGAGGTAGTGTAGTGTCAAGGTCATCCTTAGACTATAAAGTGTGAAGATCAAAATTTGTTTGGTTTCAAGTAGTGATGTATAGGCTCAGTAATCAGTTCCATGTGACTGACTGCCTGCTTATAAGGTACCAGGTGCTAGCTTAAGCAGCTGGGAAGATGAAAGTCCCTACCCTTCTGTGGAGGTTTTTTATATACAATGTAATAAAAAGTATACAGAGATAGTCATAGGTTATCATACAGAAAGGAAAATCATATGTATTTTATTAGTATCATTAACAAAGGGGACCCGGGGTTTGGGGGAAGGCTGCCGGCTGCCAATAATGGCCCTTGGCTGATTGCTGCAACCACCTGCATCCTCTATCTAGAATGGTTAAGAATGTAGGGGCCTCAACAGCCAGCCCTGTCCTTGGTAGCTTTCTCATCTTTGCTGATGCCCTGGGCTATAGAATATAGAAGTGTGCTGTGTGCAATGACAGGCTCTGCCCTGCGCATGGAGGCCAGGAAATCACAGGAGTAGCCTGGAATTTTCATTTTCAACAGAGTATACCATATTAGGACTAACTTTTTAATTCTTGCGAAAGTCCTACCTCTGGGTAGTGTAGTTAGAAGACCAAAAGTTGAATCATTTTCAAAACTATGTATTTAAATGACTTCGAATGAGTTGATTGGTTCATAAATTTCTATTACTGCTCACCGTTTATTTATGAAGTGATGAATTTTAAGTGATTTGTCCTGATGTGTGCTCAATTATAATAATTTCCATTAACGGCCCATAAAGGGAGGATATCCGTAATACTCTAAACAATAAAGATTTTTTGAAAAGCAATAGGAAATGATTCTCCTTATAAATGCCCAAACCAAGAAAAAAGAAAGAAAGAAACAGTCCAAAAAAATCTGTAGGTTCAGATACCAACTCTTAGTGTGTGCATCTTTAAACACAGGTCCTCCTTTTGAAAATATAAAATTTAAAAATATATATTTTTAATCTTTAGTTATGTAAGTATATAAAATAGTTATATATATTTAAGGTTTGTAAATATATGTGTATATGTTTCCAGATCTTGCTGAGATGCCGAACAGCATGACTGTGACATACATTATTTAAATAAAACATTTTGAAGAATCAAGTGGCCATTGCACCCTTCACTTACTACTGTTATTTCTGACTAACTCAGTGGTGGTGACTTGCTACACCTTTCTTTGGTGAATGGTGTTTGCTTGTAGACTGTTCAGTGTTGGTTTCATGCACTCACACCCTTATCCCACCTTGTGCAATCTGTGTTTAAAACAAATGGAACAATGTACTGTCTTTGCACATTGAGGTGGGAAAATTAGAAAATATTCACTTTATAATTAAATCTAGATTACTAAAAATAGAGGTGAAATCTAAAAATGACATATTGGCCTTTTTGCATAAGAAACTACAGTTGACCCTTAAACAACTCTGGCATTAGGGGAGCTGACCTCCTGAGCATTCAAAAAGCCAAGGATAACTACAGTCAGCCCTTTAAATGCTCAGATACCCAACCGCAGGGTTAACCCTTGAACGTTGTGGGTTTGAACTCCATGGTCCAATTGAAAAAAGCCATATATAAGTAGACCCGCACAGTTCAAAACCGTGTTATTCAAGAGTAAGTTGCACTTAAATATATAAAATGTTCTGCCAGAGTTCTTTTCCACAACAGACCTGTATTAGAACAGTGGATCTTGACTTTCCTGTGAGAATCACTATACATGAACGCCTTCTTCCTGGCCTCTGTTGGCGGCTCTTACATACAGATCTGGTGAGGCCCACGATCATGCCAAGTGCATCTGATGAGGCAATCAAGGCCATACTTGGAGAAGAAGTGCATTTAGGGACAGGAGACAGCCTACAACCTGGAGACTCCTAAAGATAGGCTGGGTTTCTGTTCCAGACCCTTCAGGATGACTCCAAAAAAAGTGGTTAGACGCATGCCTTCAACTTTGCTGCCTTATTCCATAATGCACGTTGTCTTGAATTTCATCAGCTGTTTAAGAATCCAAAGGCTATCCCTTGCAGTGCGTATCTTATCACCCCCTGTTAACCATTTGGTTTGTGCTGATGAGAAGAAGGGGTACACCAGGTGTGCCCCTGCCCGGTTGCTGCAGATGTGAGGGACTTAATGCTCAGCTTAGCAAGCACAGTCCATCCTCTTGAAGGTGCTTTGTGTGGTAGAAGAGCCATCAGTAGTGGTCTGTGGAGTGGGGAACTGGGGTTTGGAGGAGCTGTGCTGGACCAAGCAAAATGCAGATCCTGGTCTCCCCTACAGGTCAGGAGTGAGTGTAGGGACAAGAAAGCCCGGGCAAGATTCACTTTCCATTTTGATAAGTGCTGTGAATCCGTGTTCTTTCTTTTGCAGAACTGTGGGTACCCATGGATGTGGCCGAGAGCCCTGAACAGGACCCTCGCTCTCCAGAGGACGAAGAAGAGGAGCAGCAGGGGCTCTCGGACGATGACATTCTGAGAGAAAGTGGGTCTGAACAGGATTTGGACAGAGCTGTGGGGCGGGCTTCTGATTTGGAGGATGAGGAGAATGCTGCCCTGGGACTGAGTCAGGAGGAAGAGGAGAGCCGCTCCGATGAGGAGGACCAGGACCAGGACTCGGAGCCGCAGGAGCCGAACAGGGGCCCTCCGAGCCCCCCACGTGCGGGGGGTGGGGGGGAGGAAGACCGCACAAGTGATTTGAGGGACGAGGCCTCCTCAGTCACCAGGGAACTGGACGAGCATGAGTTAGACTACGATGAGGAGGTCCCCGAAGAGCCAGCCCCCGCTGGGCAGGAGGACGAGGCCGAGAAGGCGGGAGCCGAGGAGGACGATGAGAAGGGAGAAGGTGCCCCCGGGGAGGAGGGGAAGGCCAGCGCCCACAGCGTGGAGGAAAAGGAGCCCCCGGAGGCTGCCAAGGAGAGGAAAAAAGAGGACGACGATGGAGAGATTGATGACGGGGAGATCGACGTAAGTATGCGGGTGCCTGTGTGTAGAGCCTGGAAGGGCGTCCGCCAGCACCTCGGCCTGGTACCCGGTACCCGGAGGAGGGCTCTCACTAGGATTAACTCAGCCTCCACTCAGAATGTGGAGGTGGGATGGAGCAGGCGGAGAAGTGGGAGGACGGTCCCAGTGGTCGCCGTGGTAATTAGGAAGTGCTAAAAATCAAAGAGAAGTAGTCTAGATGCAGAAAACTGTCTACCAATTGGAAGCCGGCAGAATTTCCATGGGCCCTTACTCACCTGTCTGGTGCTGATTGTATTAGAATGCCTGGTTCACTTTTTTTTTAAACAAGTGAAGAGGACATTTCTTTTACCTTTGCTGTCTTTAAATCCTATTTGAGTTGGCATTCAACCAGAATCATCGTGGATCTTCAGTTCTTATCAGGTTCTTGAGACTGATGAAAAGACTCAAAAGGCTTCCTTCCAGTTTTGTCTATTTAGGCATTTTTATCTTTGTCCCACAGCCTGTCCTCTGGTGAGGGTCCCTGCTGGGCCAAATAAGCCTCAGGACTGGATAAAATGGGGTTCTATGATAGAACACCTCAGCTTTTGATCATACTATCACACTTATAATGTACTTAAATCTGGCCTGCAGGTTGAGGAAAAGGTGAGACTGGTAATAGATCATCTTAGATATAGGTAGTTTGGGGTTTTATTACAGATAATCCTTATGATCTTTAAGAAGTTGAGCATTGGGGGTAAAGAGCCTGAAGTCCTACTGAGTAATGAATTTACTCAGGAGTTGAGAGAGGGACAGAGTATATTGAAATAATCTAGGGTTTTTTAGTTACCCTAGGGAAGGAGATTCTACTTATCTCACTGTGAGAGAGTCATCACAGTGAAAAGTGTATAGAATACCTCAGAAATATTTTGGTTTGGGAGGGAAAAGGTTACTAGTTAAATACTTATCACACTTCTCTAATGGTGTGTTGGTGCATATGTGCTCAGTCCACTCAAAAATATGGTGGCGGCCATGGTGTGCCCAATGAGGGTTTTAGGCATTGCTTATCTAACTTTGGTTCATAAGAACAGAACTTTATGGGGCGTGTGTGTGGTTATAAGCTTAGAATTTTAGATTTTTTTTTTTTATCTTCTCATAACTTAGTGTAAGGAGATGATCTCCTGAGTTAAATAACCTCTGTTTAATATTTTTTTTTTTTTTTTTTTAATCTTCACTCAAGGACATGTTCACTGACTTTTAGAGAGAGGGGGCGGGGGGAGAAACAGATTTGGCTGCCTCCCTCACCTGCAACCCAAATGTGTACCCTTTACTGGGAATCAAACCCACAACCCTTTGGTGTACGGTACTACATTCTAACTGAGCCACCTGGCCAGGGTTATTATCTTGTTTAAATGGGTGTTGGAACTTTATCATGCAAGTTCCCTTAGGTTTTGCCAGCTGTGCTTCCTTTCCACTTTGGGAAAGTTCAGCTCTGCCACAGGGTTGGCAAAGGGGAACATGGTGCTGTGACACTCAAGTTAATCAATTTGGATGAAATTTTGTCCAGAAAAATGGTCATTGGTTGAGATTGCCTGTGAATTTGGTTTTTCAGCCACCAGAGAATGTCAGGGGGCTCCAGATTGTGGCCTAAGGGTTCTGGACAGTTCATTTCCTATTAAGAGAGGACCAGTTGAAAACTCTCCTTGCTTCAACTGTTGAATAAGAATTAAGATAAATTCATCTACTCCTCTGCCTTTCCATGGTCATAGGGCGTCAAGTGTCTCCCTGCTGGTCCCAGAGGACCTTGGTGTCATGCACTTAGATGTGGCAGTGGGGGTCATTGAGTTGAATTGAACTGTCCCTGAAAAACACCCATCCTCTGGAGATTTGCTTGTTTCCCCTAGAAACAGCATGTGAAGTAAAAATTCAGTTTGATTTCTTACCCACTCAGATCCCATAGTTGGTGGGTTGGTTTGGCTTGTTTTGCCCTGCATGGCACCCTCACATAAGGGGCCCCACAGTTGGAAACAATCTGCTGCTGAGGAGACCTTGAGAGCACAGTTTCTTTCAGTTGCAGGAGGCGGCTTCCTTCCCACACCACAGACCGTGCCTCCTCCTCAAGTCACCCTGCAAGTCTCTTTTCTTGGACACAGTACCAGTGGTCCCTACAGTCTTCCAGGCTCATCACAATGCACTGGGGATGTGATAGGGTAGAGCAGAGCCTGCCCCCACCTCAGGAACAGGCAGACCTCACCATGGGGGGGGGCACTGTAAATGATAACTTGGGCCCTCCATGAGCACACCTGTCCTGCAGGAGCTCCTCTGGTTGCCTGACTTCTTTCTGGGCTCCTCTCTATTGTTTAAGTGCTGGTGTAAATGTCACTTCCTTTACGTATGCTCTAACTCCTGCCCCTGCCTTTCTGTTGCACCTGGCGCCTTTGTTGTACTTATGCAGTTAAGTTAACTGGGTCATCAGTGTGTTTGTTCCTGTTGCTTCCCACCTCCAGGAACACTAGTTCCCTACTTCTGGGATCTGCTGGGCTGGCTCCCTCAGTTATCTCCAGAACCTGGCACGTTGTAGGCAACCAGTAACTGCCTTCTGAGTAAATAGAGAAACCTGTTGCTTTGGGGCACGTTTGAGTGCCATTGAGATGTGGAGTGGCAGTAGGCGGAAGGTCTGCACTGGAGAGCCATTCCCATAGAGAGGGCAGTTTAAGCACTGATTGTGGGTAACCAGCACCAGCCCTAACCACCACTGGAAGAACCTAGTGTTAGTCACCTGTCAGCTTGTACATGAATGACTACTGCAGGTTCGTTTTTCCTGCTATCTGTGTCAATTCTAACCCTTCCTTTCCTGTAACATCTCTGCTAGAGTTAGTGCCCTGTGTCCCCACCAAGCACACTCCTGTTTCTTTCCCAAGATGCCCTGTCCCCAGCTACATTTCTCTGATGGAGCAGGAACCAAAGGTGTGTACGTAGGTCCATGAACAGCCTACTTCCAGCAGGCCTTTGGTCTGGTCCCCTTTAGTTTAAACCCTGCAAAGTAGCCTCTCATCCTAGTGGAAACTACATCACAGAGGTCTTTTCTCCCCGTGGCTTTCAAGTGCAGCTCTGGTATCAGGGTGAACCACCTGGATGTTTTTATGGGGAGGAAATGTGCATTCAGCGAGGCCCCTGAGTGGTTCCATGCACAGCAGGTGCCCTTCCAGCCTGGCTAAATCCAGAGTCTCAAGGTTCAGAGGGCCCCCCCTGTTCATGTGGCTGCTCCTCCCTCAGTGTCTGGCCCTGCATTTCTGGGACCAGCTGGGTTTGAAGAGTCTAGAACACTGTGGGACATGTCCTGTAACTGAGGAGCTCTTCCCTTCTGTCAGGTGCAGCATCCTGCTTTTCTCCCTTTATATTTTGGGTCACTGGGACAGGTGAAGTGATTTGAGGGAAGTCACCCCACACTCCCCAACTTTTCCACTCTTGGAAGTTTCCTTGATAGAGATATGAATTTTTACAATAAATCTTTTGTCTAAACCACACAAAGGTCTTAAATTACCTTTATATGTATTTGGTGTGGGGGTCAAAGGTCCCCAATGACTGAACCTGATCTAAGCCTTATTTAATCATTAGTCTCTTACCTATTCAGAAAACCACACTTAAAAAATGAGATGAATCTGTGGTTTAGTTTCTACCTGTACATATCTCAGAAAAGTGAACTGCTGTAATCAACTCCCACTATGCATATGTCTGTCTTTCCTTCTGCACCTCTGGTTAGTCTCACCAGAACCGTTTTTCCTTTTGGGTTTGACGAGCAGATCGAATGACCTTTATGGGTCTTTGATTCACCTTTACAGACTTGCATGCTCCCACCTGTAGTCTGTCCATCCTCTCCCTGGCTCATTTACTTGGTTCTGTTTTTAGATCTTATTTGTCATTCAGTTAACAGAACTTTGACCACCTGGAGTATACCATCCCCTTGGGGTATATGTTTTGTTCCATTTTTATCCACGGTTCTCACATTGGTAGGATGACCTCTCCGAGGCAACAGGACACATCCTGAGTGGACAGTCCATGTGACTCGGTCAGAAGTGGTAGCTCTCAGCGCACCTGCATACAAAAATACTTTGAAGCATTTTCTTTGCAAGTGGTATTTTATATTTTCTCCTATTCAATTATAGCTGTTCCTTTTATATACCGTCTTTACAAAAGGTCCTCAGCTTGCCCTCATGGCTGAGGGTTTATTGTCTGCAAGGCCCACTCCTTTCAGGTGGTGCATTCCCTATGTTCACTCTCCTCCAAGTCACTTAGGTGAAGAGTAGCATTAGTCCCCTGGCCAAAGCCTAGGAAGCCTGAGCCCCATTTGAGAACAGCCCATGCAGTAGTTGCCCCCTGCAGGACTCTTCAGTACAGCCACATGAGTAAGCACAGGCCATAGTCCTTAGTCTTGGCCAGGAAAGCCCAGAAGCTTTGAAAATGGAAAGGTTTACTCACTGCTGATGCCTGGCTGTTTGTGGCCCTGTATTTATTCCCTTGTGATAATCTCCCCACAGAAAGATTACTGTGGTTGTTACAGGGTGCTGCTAGAGACCCTGCTATATCACCTTTCTAAAACCAAAACATTTTTGAATTCCCAGACATCTGGCTGTGAGGTTTTGGGGTAAGGGATTTTACAGCTGCAGGATCCAGGGTATAAGGAGATTGTGGTTGACTCAGGTGGCAGTGTCAAGGTGGCACCTAGGCCTCTATTCTGGTACATGTGTTCATATGCTGCTTCTGCTTACCCGCACAGTTGCACCATGTGGTGACCATCTCCTATCTGCCATGGCTATGGGAGCTGCCGTGTTGGAAACAACTTCTTATATGAGTAATATATAGGCATTTTTTAAAAGGAAAATAAAAACCTGCTCAAAGAAAGTAAAAATCACTTATGCTATCATTGCTCAGAAATAATTGTATTTTGGCACATTGCCCCTGAGGTATTTTTCCATTAAAATAGAGATCACTCATTAAGTGCACACTGTGTTTTACACAAGGCACGTGAACGTGAGAGCTGTAAATGCAGCCGTGTTCTGCTAGAGGAAACGTTTCCACAGTCACACCATCAGGATTTGAACTCAGGCCTTTCGTCCAGTCATATGTATTTTATAAAGACATTAAAGTTGAATATGCCCTGTACACATTCACCCCGAGGAAGTGCTTATAGAGATATGCCAATGAGCCATGGCAATTCTTTAGATTTGTAAACTATAGGGGCCTTGCACACTCCCCCAAGTTAGGTATCTGTACCCTTTTCGCCATTTGCAGTGATGTTTGCTGAGAACTTCACAGGCGCTGTCCTTCTCACAGACCCACAAGTTTGCTTCTGGCCGGTCCGCTAGGGCCTTTCCTTGTCCTCTTCTACCTGCTGCTTCTGCTCTAGGTCATGTGATCAGGAGGCCTGAAGAATTCCTATACATTACTTGATGTAACAGCCTTCAAACAACCAAGCATTGTGAGTTTCGCTGTAGAGATCCCTTTCTTTAGTTATATTTGTGTGAGAGACTATAAGATTTAAGAACTCATTTTAATCATCCATCACTTGAAAAGTCATGTGTTGAATGGTTGGTTGAAAACTGAGGATATTATATTGCTGAGTGATTTATTGATTGTTGTTTGTTTTTTAATTAAAGTAGAGACCATAAACCCAGCACACCAGTGTGTACAGTCCTCTGTCTATCCTGGTAGGTGTGAGGATTAGATGATAGTGTGTTCCATTTGTTGGTTTGACATTATGTTATATACTTTACTGTGCATTTCTGTGTCTGTTTACTGACCATTTTTAGAAGCTGCATATACTCCTTCGTATGGTTCATGTGACTGGTTACCAATCTTAAGATGGGTAGGTGGTTCTTTTTGCTCTTATGAATACAAATATTGAAAGTAACGCCTTTGCAGAAATACATACCTCTTTTAATCTGATCAGTGCACCACTGTGAGTCTTGACTTCTGAAAAACCATTATTCTGTACTCATTATTTCACTCCTGTGCATTAATTTCTAACTGAAGCCAGAAGATTTGAATGGGTTCTAACCTATCAAAAGAGTTTTGTTTATTTAATGAAAACAAAGAATCTGCTTTAAACTTAGATTTGAGCTCAAGTAAAATAACACATTAAGTTGTTAGTGTAGTAATTATTACTGTTAGAAAAGTAGTGAGAAGCAAATACAAGCTAAAAAAACAGGGAAGAGAGGTGTTCTGTCACTTAGTATCAAATAAGCACATTTTCTCTAAGAGTTAAAGAAATCATTCTGGGGTTGGGGAAGATGGGGAGATATTGTTCAAAAGCTACATACAGATTTTCAGTTATAAGGTGAATTCTAAGGACCTTAAGTGAACTTGAATAAATTATTTAATCTTTCAAAAAACCATTCTGTTGGCACTCTTATGGGATATAACTCAGGCATCTTGTTCTTTTTATTACAAGATGCTTTTTGATAAGTCAAAATTTCAAGGAAGAAATGATACAACTATTATTTAAGCTTTAAAAATAAGTCATTATAAATCCAGAGTTTGACTTCAGCATTTCTGCATTCAGCAAATACTTTCCATTTACTGCGAGCCCGGCACTGCACTTGAACCGGCACATGGTGAGCAGACACAGTCCTGCCTGGTAGAGCCTCCAGCTCCGTTGGGCAGGCTGTGATGGTGGTGACCAGTGCTACAGGAAGGGGCTGTGGGGACCCATCATGAAGAGAGATGGAGAGCCCTGAGGAAGGGGATTCAAGCTGCAATCTGAAAATGAGATGTGTTAAGAGAGGAGGGAAGCCCTGGTTGGTATGGCTCAGTGGTAAGAGCCTCAGCCCGTTCACGAAAGAGTCACGGGTTCGATTCCCAGTCAAGGGCATATATCTGGGCTGCAGGTTCGATCCCTGGCCTCAGTCAGGGTGCATGCAGGAGGTAACCAATTGATGTGTCTCTCTCACATTGGTGTGTGCCCCCCCCCCTTCACACTCTCTGAAAAGCAATGGAAAAAAGATCCTCAGGTGAGGGTTAAAAACAAACGAACAAAAAATGTAATTCATGTAATGGGGTCCTGGGTAGAGAAACCGTGTCGTTGCCTTCTAGCACTTTCGATGTGCGGTGTTCTAGGTCTGCTCAGAGTGGTATTAAGGACAGCGTAAGTCATGTGAAATGTGCGTCTGCTTCTCAGAGGCGCAGACAATGCTGACTGCGTATGTCCTGTGATGCTCCCGTTTCCCCTACTAGCTCTTCACGCAGGCCAGGAAGTCAGGAATTCTGGAAGATTGAGAGCAGGAAACGCCAAGGAAGTTTACAGATTGTTCTTAAAGAAAAAACCGAAGGATGCCGGGAGTGTGTGTGCGCTTGTGGGAGTGTGTGTGTTTAATCTTTTATTTAATTTTCCAAGGAGGAAAAAAAAAGCCCTATTTTGCCTTGTTTGCTGGAATCATCCTTTGCCTTTGTCCAAACACATTCATTTCTGAACATCCCCTCTGTGTATTTCTCTCAGACTCTCCCCTTTGATCATATATATTTGGTGTTCCNGGCCAGTGTAGCTCAGTTGGTTGAGTGTGGTCCTGTGCACCAGAAGTTTGCAGTTTGTTTCTCAGTCAGGGCACATGCCCAGGTTGCCCGCCTGATTCCCAGTATGGGGCGTGCCAGAAGGCAGCTGATCAATGTTTCTCATCGATGTTTCTATCCCTCTCCCTTCCTCTCTCTGAAATCAACAAGAAAACGTATTTTTAAAAATCAGTGAGAAAAAAAAGCCTTCATGTGAGAATTAACAAATGGAAAAAAAAGAGGAGGGAAGAGTATTGTCTGGCTGGGGTTTGAACAGATCACTGTGCATTGGGGGAATGTATGGGAGAGTTCGGGCGAGATTGCAGGGACACCCGTTAGGGAGTACTTCCCCTGACCAGATGGGACTGGGCTATAGTCTAGAAGTTGGTAGTACTACAGAAGATGGGGTGAGGGGTCCAGTGACTTTCAGGCCTGCCCTATAGGACCCCTAGGGCACTCTTGGACAGACTGGGATACCAGGCAATGAGGAGTTTCATCCTGAACAGACCAACAAGGATATCAGCAGGGCAACTGGATACCTGCTTGGGCTGGGGGTGACCCTGGGGGTGGGGGAATGAGGCACAGTTGAGAGGGAGTCTGCAGATCAGGAGTGACCAAGGGGGGAGCAGGTGAGAGCCTGTGCAGGTCAGTGGTGACCGGGGCACTAGGGGCTGAGGAGGGCACAGGGCAGCGGTCCAGATCATGACTGTTCTTTAGAATCCCTGGGCTTTGGTCTTTTGAAAACTCCCATGTTATTCTAAAGTTTGAAAACCAAGATTAAGAACTCTGGGCTAAGAAAGATAAGAGAATGGCCTAGATCTGAGGTAAAAGGTGGGTCCACAAAACTGGCCAGCTGGCATTGCCTACCTGAGTCACCTAATTTTCCTCCTCTCCACCCCCAGACTTTTAAATTAGAGGAAGTTAGTGTTGAATTTTAAGGACATAAAATATTTTCTTCTAAATGTATAAAATATTAAAAACCTGAAATGCAACCATATCTTGCCCAGAAATGGTAATTAAGAAAAATGTAAAACCCAGGTTTCTCCCATGCATTACGTGCTTCACAGTGTTTTCCTCGGTGTTCTTTCATGGAATTCCTCAGTCTTATAGGTAAGCTTTGAGATTTCCCATTGTGTGGATGAGGAATCTGAGGTTTGGAAAGTGAACGTAAATTGGCGAGTGGCACAGACACGGGTCTTGACCATATCCTTTCTGGCTTGGTGAAAACCATGCCCTCTGGTAGATGCCCCCCCTGCCTTTTCCCTCTTGTTAAGAAGATTCCATCTGCAAGTCACATTGTCCTCTGTTTCAGGATGATGATCTGGAAGAGGGCGAAGTAAAGGACCCCAGTGACAGGAAGGTGAGGCCTCGTCCCACCTGCCGATTCTTCATGAAAGGTAATTGTCTGAGTGAGGGGCCTTTGCATGGCCCATTTGTGTGGCCTCAGCTTTTCCTGGGACTGTGGTGGTGGCTCAGCCTTGTCAGGTGCCCTGGAGCCTGTGTTAGGCTATTCTTGGGGCGAGTGTATGACGGTGGTGGTGGTATTGATGTGAAACAATAGATTCTCTTATTGGTACTTTCATCACTTGAATGACAACTCGAAGAGGAGCCAACCTGGTTATTTTCATACTTGTGGTTCCAGGCCCAGTTGTTTATTACAGACCCATGACTTTAATGTAGACAGTATAAATCATTTTTCTAAGTGGTTCTTTTTATAAGACCGCATGCCCCAGGCACCAGTTTTATTTTCCCACCCCTGTAAGGAAAATTACCACTCTTCCGCAAGATGTGTTAGAAGTATATCCTTCATTTGAAATGGATTTCTAAATAGCAAGGGGATGGCCTCTGAAAGCAGCAAGGCTCCCTCTCCCCTGAAAAGTAAATGGTGTGAGTCAAGAAGAGGTAACAGGTGGCAATATGATAAAATCTTGTTGAAAAGTCTGGACTAAAGTCTTGGGAGGTTTGGAAATGGAAATGAGAATTTCCAGTCTTAAGGTTTCTTTGATGTGCAGCAGTAGTTTGGGTACATGTCTTGTAAAATTCAGCATTTTCCTTGGATAGGTAGGAAGATGCTTTTCTCTTAATTTTACTCTGACCCTTGATGACTTTGCTCACTTACCCAGCCTGCATGTACCACCTAAAGTTCACAAGAGCTTCCTGTACTTCTTTTCCAGATGTTGTGACACCATTATCCACTCTTCTTCCACCAATATCAAATTCCATACCATTCAGAGACCAGGTTAAAGGTACAAAATATACAATATTCACTCTCTTTAGTCCCTCAAAGTCCCCCTGCTCCAGAAGCCAGACTCCTTTCTCCTGGACCCAGAGTACTACTGTGAAGCCAGAAGGAAGGGGAGGCTTGGAGGGGCAGAGAGCTGTTGTGAGCCTTAATACTTAGAGGCACTTGATGAGGCTGGAGGGAGCTGTGCACTGACCGCACGGGGAGGACGGGCTTGCAGGGGCACAGTGGAATCCCATCTCATGGAGAGGCATCTCTGCACTTTGAGTGGCCCTTGAATGACCCTATCCTATCCCTAATACCGAGGGATGACCTGATGATGAGGGTGCATGGGAGCTGAGGGACCAGCGCACTCGGGACCCAGGTCAGCTTGCTCCTCAGGGTGTGTGCACTTGGCCTGTGCTATTTACCTGCTTATTGTTTCTGCCAAGCCAAAAACAGTTTGACTCGCCTGAATGTGATGGGCTCCACCGTGCCCAACTGAGGGCAGCCAACACAGTCATGTGCTATAGAGCAGATGTTACAATATGAGCAGCAAAGCCACCTAAGATAAGCGTGCAATACGTTTTAGAAAGTATTTGAAGTGTCAATATTTCAGAAAACTTAAACTTAAGCGGAAGACCTCCTTTCCATGATTTGAGAGCGCATGTCAATATATCTCTGAAATTTCTAGATTAAAGTGATGGAATAAATATGTATACATAACATAAATACACTTGCAGTCATTTTCAGTTAGCACTGTTCACAAATGGATCAGAAGCTTGGCCAGCTGGTTAGAACCAGCTGAAAGCTCCCATGGCAGGGGGCGGTAGTGTCCGCCATTCATGCCACGGAGGCTCTGGTCCAGGTGCTGGGGTCACACCACTGAAGTAGTTTCCAGAATTTAGCCAGAGAAGCTTGCATACAAATGAAGTGAAGTTGTTGCTGGAACTGCAGATCAGCATCATCAGGAGATTCCCGATGGACAAGGACAGGACACCATCTCCATGGACGTCACGGGGGTCACCTCACAATAGGAGCGAGGTGCCTCCAGGGTCAAACTAAGTGCTCAGTTTGGATATCAGGGAGTGAGACCAGTGGGTAAGGCTTTCTGCAATAGAAAAATCTGAAGCTAGTGGCAAGCGGCCTTTTTGCAGTTTAATTGGGCAAGATCACTAACTTGTTTAAAAATATATTTACCTTTCCTCCTCTACTGTTTGTTCATTCTACAGAGAATTGTGATACAGTACAAAAGGAAATGGTTGGTTTTTTTCGTGTTCTAGAACATAGCTCCTGCTTTTTCTTAGTTGTAAGAAACTTCGGGGATATAAATGTTTTTGCTTACCTGCAGTTTATAAGCTTGACGTTAAATTGAGATGGATAAGTTTAAGTTCCCTCTAACAATAGGAGAAGTCATTCTAAAAATTAAGTTTGTTGTGTGTGGTAAGGATGCATAGAATGAAACCCTCATGCCTGCTGGTGGGAACATAAAATGGTCTGTCAGCTCCTCAAAGTGAGGGATAGAGCTACCATATGACCCAGCAGTTCCATTCTGGGTATCCATCTAGGAGAAATGAAAACATATCCACACAAAAACTTGTACATGAACATAACAGCATCATTCGCAATAGCCAAAAAGTGGGAACTACCCAAGTGTCCATCAACTGATGATGGATAAATAAAATTTGGTTTACCCATACAATAGGATGTTATTCAGCCATAAAAAGGAAAGAAGTTTTGGTAGTTCAACATGGATGAACATTGAGGACACTGTGCCAAGTGAAAGAAAGAAACCAGACACAAAAAGCTGCATGTTGTCCATTTTCACTTACGTGAACTGTCCAGAATAAGCAAATCCCCAGAGACAGAAAGTAGATTGATTAGTCATTGCATAGGGCAAGGGGTGGGAACATTGAGAGGGTGGGGTGATGTTTAATGAGTACAGTTTCCTTTTGGGGTGATGAAATGTTCTGGAATTGGTGGTGACTGCACAACTTTGAATATACTAAAACTCACTGAATTATATACTTTAAATGGTGATCTTTTGTGGTATATGAATTATATGTTAATTTGGAAAAAATTTTAAGTTTGTTAACTTTGTTTCTATTACAAGTTATGATCTTCAGATTAATCATTTAATTTCCCAAATGGACACATTAATATTTGTGACCATTGACAACAAAATGTACTTAGGAATGCAAATTGAAACACTTTAAAGTGCCAATACTTTGTTTATGGTATATTTTTACCTCATATATTTATGTTGAATCATCAATACACAAAGTTCTGTTCACCAGGGCATAAATAGCATTTTCTTTCAACTGTGCCCTCCTTTGGGTTTCTGGTTTCCCCAGCTGTCATAGGCCTAGCCTGTTCTGTAAGCCAGGCCTCCTTGTGATAATGTGTCCTGTTCTCTCTTTTTTCATTGTGGTAAAATACTCATACTGTAAAATTTACCGTCTCAACCATTTTTAAGTGTACAATTCAGTGGCATTGAGAACATTATACTGTGGCCGTCAGCACCATCCATCTCCAGAACTCTCTTCATCTTTTAAAACTAAAACTCTGTCCCGATTAAACACGAACTCCTCTTTTGCTCCCCTCAGCCCCTGGCAGCCACCATTCTATTTTCTGTTTCTGAGTTTGACTATTCTAGGCACCTAATGTAAGTGGAATCATATGATATTTGGTTTTTTGTGACTGATTCATTCATTTCACTTAGCATAATGTCCTCAAGGTTATCCATGTTACAGCCTGTGTCAGAATGTCATTTTTAATACTCCATTGTGTGGATAACCACATTTTGTTTATCCATTCATCACACAATGGACACTTGAGTTGCTTCCATCTTTTAGCTGTTGTGAGTAAAGCTTCTGTGAGCATAGGTGTACAAATACCTCTTTTTTAAGACGCTGCTCCCACATCTTTTGAGTATACGCAGAGATTCCTGCATCATTTGGTAGCTCTGTTTTTAATTTGAGGACCTCCCATACTGTTTTCCATGGCGGCTGTACCATTTTACATTCCCAACAGTACAGGAGGGTTCCAGTTTCTCACATCCTCACCAGCATTTATTTTCTGATTTTTTTAATACTAACCATGCTAATGGATGTGAGGGTGGTATCTCCTCACCTCATTGTGGTTTTGATTTGAATTTCCCTAAGGACTAGTGATGTTGAGCATCTTTTTATGTACTTCTTGGCCATTCGAATGTCTTTGGAGAAATGTTTATTGCCCACTTTTGAATTCCTGTGTTCTCTTTTGTGTTTAAAGCAGCAGTTCTCAAAGTGTGGTCTGTGGAGTCCTAGGAGTCCTTGAAACTTTTTCAGGGGACCCCTGAGGTCAGAATTATTTTCATAATAATATTAAGTCTGTACTAATAGACTGACTAATAGTCTCAGGTTTAATTTTTGTGCACACCATGCACTCAAAGTTAAATAATGCCAATTATACTTAATGATATCTGTGATAGAGCAGTAAAAATTATAATTGTTTTATACTTGAATATAGGTCTTTTTAAAAAAACTTTATCAAGGTATAATTTACATGCCATAAAACTTGCCTGTTTTAAGTGTACAATTCAGGGATTTTTAAATTAAATTTACCAAGTTGTGTAGCCATCACCACAATCCAGTTTTAGAACATTTCATCACCCCAATAAGAGCCCTCAGTGTATGTCTTTTTTATATTCAGTATGACAAGATTGGAAGTGCGCATGGAGCCCCTCTGCTGCGCATTGAAGTGCAAAGGTCATCTCCAGGGAGGGCACGTTCGAGGTTTGCACTGTGAGCTGAGCCAGCCGCTCTTCCCACGGAGCGCGTGCTCACTTGCAGGAAGGACTGTGACACGCCAAGGTGGTATAGAACCAAGTCTCCTGAGACTCACCAAGTACGCCTGCTGCTTCAAGAACAACTGACGATATCTGTTGCTAATGATGAAATTCGAGCTCTCAAGTGAAAATTAGAATTTTGGAGAGCCAGTATCTCCAACGTGAGCTTGACAGCTTTTTGGTGTTTAATGACCTTTTCCAAATGACCACTGGGTGATGTTACAAAATCATACGTGGGTAGAAGATCCATTCACAATTCAAGATAGACTAGTGGACTTCCGTGGGACAAAGTTGGAAGTCAGTGATGGGGTTACAGATCCCGCGTTGTGGCTAACTGAAGAAGCCTTCGCTTGTCGAATTTGGTGTAGCATCATAGGACATCCAAGAGTACCTTAAAATGCCCTTTCCTTGTCCAGCTACATTTCTGCCGCAGCTGGATTTTCAATCAAAACAACCAGGCACAGCAAATTGAATGCAGAAGCAGACAGGAGAACCCAGCTATCTTTTGTTCTGTGTCAGCATTAAAGAGATTTGCAAAAAGGAAAATAATACTATTCATATCACTAAGTGTTTTCTAAATATAGCTACTCATAAAGCATTTGTGTTGACATTATTAACAAATTATATCTATTATATATTAGGTCTTTACATTTTCTCAGGTTTAATTTCTATAGTAAGTATCAGTTTAACCTGTACAGTAAATATCTGTTTAATCCATTCAAAGGCTCTTTGGGGTCCTGAGACTAAAAAGTTAGAGGACTGCTGGTTTCAAGTCTACGTTATTTATAAAGAAGCAGTCCAGAAGTTACTTTAATTTTTTTCAGCTACCGTAATGAATGTATTCCTTAGAGAAGTTAAAATATCTCAGAATACTTCTGAGTGTGACTGTGGCTGTCCATTTCTGTCATAGTTCTCTGACATGGGAAAGGAAAGGACACATGAGTTCTTAGTGTTATATCATTACAAATTTGTATGCGATGGTTCGTTGGATTTATGCCTGTTAGAATACGCATTTGTAGAGCTTAGGTGTGTTCTTAGTATTTAATTATTAGCCTTAAATACTTTAAACTGCTTTATTTTATTTTTACAATCTGATCATTTATTATCTATTCTGAGTTATTAGACTAACAGGAAATGGGAGTAAGGTATATTTAAATAAGAGCACTATGTCTTATTTAGCAATAGGAAGTCTCTAAAGTTCTGGTGTGAAGCAAGTACTTTGTATGGGAAATAGATAGTGTAAAATTATTTCAAGTGTTCTAGTAGGGTGCATTGCAAATACAGCGACAGTACAGCCCAAAACGATAGTCAGCCCTGCACTGTGCTGTTCACCAGTGGAACCAGCAATCAGCAGTAGTAAAACCTGGCAGTGTTTCTGCACCTCCCACACGCACACACTCACATGTACGCCCATAGACACAGTGTGCTTGCTTCTCTAGACATTTCACACCATGGGAGAGGTGGATTCCTTGGGCTCCTGTAGTTGTGACCAGTGGGTTGCTGGAGTGGGAGATGTGGATTTCATTTCCTGTCCTCTTTGTGTCTTAAGTCTCCTTGATTTCTACTGGGGCCCATTAAGTTTCCTGCATATATTGTCTATTTCACTGATAAGAGTTTGGGTTTGTTGCTGTTGAGCCTGCAGGTTCCTTTTTTGTAGTTATATAAGTGGGGGGAAAGCAAGGTTGAACACTATAGTATAACCAGGCAATAATAGGGTTGGGTAAACTGATTGATTGGTTCCTCAATAAATTGATAACTGCCTCTGTGGAGGGCCCTGGAGGCATGGAGACTTCACTGAATACCTTTTAGAGAAATCCTGACATTTTTGTTTACATGTACTTCTTTTATTTAGTTTCATTGTGAAATATTTCATATATAAAATACACTATAATGTTTACACAGGCATAAAGAGTAATAAATGAATAAAACAATTACTGACGTTCCCACCATCCAGTTAAGAAATAGAGCACTATCAGTGCCTTTGAAGCTCCATGTGTGCAAAGATGAAGAAACTTGTCCCACTGAACTGCCTGTCACAGCTGTTTCCAGTTTTTCTGTTTTCTTCTGGCGCACATCCATGTCCTTATATAACTGTGAGCCTGTTCATCCAGTCAGGATCACAGTCCACATAATGTTTGTGTTTGTGAAGTTTCATTCAGAAGCAGACCACCGTAGATTTTAAAACCGTAAGATCAATTCTTACTTCCATTTCCTAAAGAATACTTTTTCCAAATAAATTGCTTTTTTAAATTATGAAAGTATTATGTGCTAATGAGAGTCAAGACAATAAAATATAAAAGTCTCCTTCCACAGTTCCTACAGTTCAGGGTCTATCTTTCCAGACTTTTCTACACAGATAAAAATTCACTTTAAGGAGGCTAATGGGATTGTGCTATTCCAACTGCTTTCTTTTTGGCTGTATTTGCAGGACACCTGTCCTCCTTTTTGGTGGCCAGGGTTCCAGACATACACTCAGCAAGGATCTTAGCATACCCAGAAGCAGGAGGTTCCAAGGGGTCGGGCTTCTGTCACTCACCAGTGTCTCAGAGGGTCACAGGCCCCTGCTCTTGCCCCTTACTTTCCTCATGTGTTCCCTCTCATCCACCTATTCCTCTTTTCTCCCTCTTCCAATATGAGTGATAAAAGATCTTTTTTATCAGGGTGCTAGCTTGTGGGTGATGTTTTGTTTGGAAGTTATTTTAAATAAAAGAACAGAATAACAAATACCCATTTATCTACCATCCAGATATATAATTTAAAAATTACCGGAAAGTTGTGGTTTATACTGTTAATAGTTTTCTGTACTTGCAGATTTTCTATGGTGAGCTTTTACTTTTTTACTACAAAAGCAGCGTGGAATGCAATATGAGTTTTCTAAGAGTCAAATGGTGAACTTGATAGTGTTTTGAAATTTTTTATTTAGGTGCGTGACTGCATAGTCCTTTTTTCTTTAAACCTCCTGAGACTCTGAGGTTTTGAACCCCCTGTAGTACAGTATTTCCCCTCTGACTTATATGTGATTTCTCAAATACTTTTAGGAATTTTAAAAATTAATCTATCATTTTTGCATTCCCAGAGAAGCAAATCTCAAGCATTCTTTATCTCATATTCAATATATTAAGTTGGTTTTAATACACACTTAAGAATTCATGTTTAAAAAGTAAAATTTAGCTTTTTCCTAAATATCAAATGATTATTTCTCTTTAATTTACGTTGCACAAGGAAAATTGTTTTGTTGACAGAAATGTTCAAATGGAATATTGTGTTTAGAAGTGAATATATATGTTTAAGTAGTTTAAAATTTAACTACATGTTAACCCGCTGAAAATGTTTTTTTAAATCTAAGATACTGTGTGCCATATTTATTTTTGAGCCTGTGTTCATATTACCTACTTAAAAATTAAATTTTTAAAAGTGACTTACGAGATTTAAAACTTTGGCTTCTTCCCTTCTGTGCTGACAGGTAAGTGGTTTCCTTGAATAACCCTGACGTTCTCGTCACTGAATAATACTAAAAGATTACTTTTTTTTTTTTTTTTTTTTTTT